AAAAAAGGATATTTGGTAGGGTAGTGCATTGGGAGCGTAAATCTCGTTGTGGGTCCAAATCCATTTGACTTTGGTTCATCGTCATGTTCCGTACACCTCCACCTCCACCTCCACCTCCAATCAATTATAAATCCTCCATGTGAATAATATATGTATTGTTTTTCTTTTTACCCTTCACGCTAAAACATCCTTCCTCCTTCCCTCTTTAATTAAACGCTTTGTTTAGTTTAGATAGGGAAATAAACATGAGGACATTTCATCTCATTAATAACTGTTTAATACCTTTAATTATGGATGTTCAGAAACTCGACCAATTCGACCAATCCAACATAAAATGACTCAACACGAATCCAATGTCTTATCGAGTTATAAAATATTCAAAACCGTAAGTATTAGTTTAGAATTGGGATACAGTTCAAATGAACACAATTCAACCTCATGAAACTGATGTCTTTTTATTTGTTGGATTTAAAATGATTGTTAAATCTTTGTTAGTATATGCATTAGACAATTACATCATCATATACCCTTCACACACACGCACACATATAATTCCAATTTCTTCTCCATATCTATATAACTCCTTATATGTGTTTAGTAAATATGAACATATATATGCAAATTGAAAAGATAACTGAATGTGATACACTTAAAATTTAAAGAGTATGAAGAAGTTGTATCAAATGATTGATGATGAAAAAAGAGAATTATAACTAGAGAAAACAACATATTAATGGTTAGGATGGACGGCTAACGTGGTCCCGGGCTGCCCCATCCCCAAATATTAAAATATAGTTATTATTAAATATATTATTTATAAAAAATTAGATTTAATATCTTTTTGATTTAGAAATAGATTTTATATTTTTTCTTATATATATATATATATATATATATATATATATATTAGTTGTCTTACTTTCTTTTAGATAAAAAAACGTTGAAAGTTGAAAGCATTTGGTCAAACAATTACGTATGATATTATGATTTTATTCACTTATAAATACTTAATACTCTATAAAAGAAGATTTTAAAAAATATGTGAGATTTAAACATAAATCATTATCAATCGAGGGTGGTGTTAACACATTTGATTTAGAATATCTTATATTAATAAGGAAAAAGCGCTAATTCTCCATTGAAAACAAGGATGAGGATGTGATCATATTTTCTGATGGGAATGGAGACGGAGACGAAGACAGAGATTGAGATTGGAGATGGGGATGGAGATTAAGGTCCCCACCCCATTTCCATATCTACTATCCTCATGTCGTCATAGAAAGGGCATGAAGACGTAAAAAAGGAGTAGTCATTATATAAACCGAAATCATCCGTTCGAGATCATTCAATACAACAGTATGAACACGATACTAAAACAAACCTATGGAAATACCCTCTTTATGAGAAAAAGACACTACGTAACTTTATTGCATTGAAAAGTCCATCGACTACGCCTTTTAGCCTGGTATCAGACCTCGACTCACCCTCCATGATATATGCATCATGTGCCATGTATCATGATGACTTTGGGGTCATAATAAATCTTCTCTCTTTATCAAACTTAACCACCCACTCAGTTACATTAAATATTAGTAATAATAATAATAATAATAATAATAAAAGAGTTTACAAATTTCATTTTTCTATTTTGGTTACTTTATTCTCAGTTATGTATTCCGTTATATCACCTGCAATGGATATATATATATTTTAATTTCTATGGTTATCTGAAACAATTGCTTAAGAACTGAGCAATTATTTAAAAATATCTGAAAATAATAGTAAGTAGAAAAAGTGTTATATTAATCATAATGTATATCCATATGTTTTTTAAATAACTAGAAGAGTACTTGTACAATGCAGCGAGACACATTTCGATTTTAATGTTTTATTTTATTATTTGTTCTTGTCGATGTTATAATACGATTTTATGTGTTTTTAAGAAAACAATAATGATTTTATTTTTGAATAAAATATAAATTTGAAGATATCATAAAAATTTGAAGAAAAAGAATATATCAATGTTAATATCAAATCAACTATTTAAAAGTTCTCATTTTTTATGTAATTTTTTAATTATAATTTAATTTAAATTTAATAACGAAATAATTTATTTTTGGTTTAATAATATAGCATTTTATAAAGATAATAATTAAGTATTTTGTTATAACTCAATGATTATCCTAATTATATTTTAATTTTTTATGTTTAAAATGAGATGTTAATCCTGTATTTGATTATTTTTATCTACAGTTAGTTATACGAATTCAATGGAGCTTTAATAAGTTGTATTTACGCACAATCTACTTGCAATCTTGAGTTTAAGTAATATGCATTAATAAACAGTATTTTATGCATAAAAAATGATTTTTAAGAGTTTTTGTCAAATGTTTTATAGTATAGTATAGATAATATTATATATATATATATATTTGGGTTAAACAAAAGAATTTACAAATTTTAGGTAATTAATTATTATGTTTATTATAATTCTTTTAGTATACATTAACCCTTTTTCATATACTTTAGGATTTAAAAATGTAATTAAACAAAAACATCAAATTAGGTACATGTAATTAAACAAAAACATCAAATCAAAATATAACAATAAAAGATTATACAAATCTAAAATAAAAAACATATAAAAAAACAAAATATATATATTTTTATTTAGAAAAAATGTGAGTTGTGAGCAAAAAGATACAAGTTGTTTTTACGTGTATAAATGGTAAAATCATTTAATGAGTGATGAAGTACCAACCAATCACTTCCATTTAATTATTTTAATCATTAAAAAGCAACGATTTATGATCACTACAAATATTTATTTCATGATTCAATTTTAAACGTGACAACTAACTTCATTAAAATGAAATCCCCAAATAACGGCTAAGTTTATAATATCATATATATATATATATATATATATATATATATATATATATATATAGACTTGAGATCATGTGAGACCAATTGTTTTTCGTGAGACCCGTAAGACCAATTCTCAACCCTTGGATTAGATCTATAATCTGACAATCTAAACATTCATAAACGCCACGAAATTTCTTAATAATTACCAAATTACCACCGTGCAATTTAGACCGTTAGATCATTAACTTATAAAGTTAATCAATGAACATAGATTGGTCTTACGGGTCTCACGAAAAACCTTTGGTCTCACGTGAACCCAACCCTATATATATATATATATATATGTATAATAAGTAATTTTGTTATTTATTATTGTAAACAAATTATATAGAGATACTATACAATGATATATTTTTTATTTTCTATTAAATATAAAATCATGTGAGATTATTCAGTTTTGTTAGACTTGTGAACAGTGGTGGTTCCAAAAACTTTTATATATTCATATGGATGAAAACGGTTTTGAGTTTTCCTTTTCGGCTTAAACGATTCAGTTAACCGAATAACGATAACTTATTCAGGTCGATTTTCAGTTGACTTTTTACTAATTCATCGAGGTGTATAAATTTTATATTTTATATTCGAACGAAAATATCAGTGTGTGCTGCAAATTGACCAATTAACAATCAAAATATCAAGTTGGGGGTCCTTCCCTTGTTCTTGTTTGACGCACAATAGGAAAATTTACTAAACAAATCTTTGTATAGCTTTTTTTAAAAAACTGGTGGGTTTGTTGGGGGCCTAGGACCCCTACCACCATACACTAGATCTGCCACTGCTTGTGAAACCACTTTGGACCTACTAGATGAGTAATTCTAGCTGAACCTTCGCAGCAAAATGAACCTATACATAAGCAAAAAAAAATGAATTTTTATATGAAAAATACAAGCTTCATTGCAAAAAGTGCCAAATATTCACAAAAAGTGTTAGTTGGGAACCGGGTCTAATGAGAAATCAATAAAATCGACTTGAATACGAAATTGTGATCGTGTAGGAAATCACTTTCCTGAGCTAGTATTTCTACCACTATTTTGTTTTGGGTTACAAAAAATTTAGTCGAGGATAATCTAGATTCATAAAAATAGTTTCAATAGAAAATCGAAAGCAAAACACACGTTCTGATGTTTCAGATATAAAAACGAGAATGAATAAACCTTTTACATGTAGGCAGTCACCGAAAGTTGCCAGCAATTATTAGGGAGTTATAAAAGATTACATGACAATCAGGAACATACAGTATACGCGGTTGTACCCACTAATAACATCAATGGATAACATTAGTAGGTAAACACAAATAAAAGTAAACAATAATCAATATCAGCATGTAAACGCTTCAATGGGTAAATCCACTAATCATTGCCACTACTAAAACACTGGAAATAGCCATTGTAGTTCACCACAAAGCCCCTTGACCATGTCATATAGCAATATTCGATAAGTTTTAAATAGCTTATACAAGTATACGTTTTGAACCAAACCTTGTAGCTGATATTATAACTTAACAAACAATCCTTTAAGAATAAAATTGCACCAAAATCACCAACAAAAACACACACCGATCCTTTTTTAATAATCTTATAGATCTCTTTAGAAGTGAATAGTCACACCAAAACCTACCCTAATATTATTAACAGACCGTCCCTTAGTATGTTAAATGTGAGATTTTGAACAAGACCCACGAAATTTTGGGCCCCAAATTTACATACGTTTAAGGTCTTTTCATCGACCTACATAAAACTATAACCGAAATTATTTAGATTCAAACTACTGATTATTTGGTTTTAAATTAATGATTTAAGTTTAGCTTCACATTATTAATCGTTTAGGTTTAGCTTATTTTTGTTCTTAATATCAATATAATCAAAAGTTTTATAAATTAACAAAATTGGAAAAAATAAGATGGTAGGTGAATAAGCCGAGCTGAGAGTGTGAATGAGCCAGCCAAATGCTGAAATCGTGGCAGCTGAAGCAAGCCTTATCCCCACCAGAGCATATAATGGCGAAGTGGGGGCACTCCGCCATTAATGTCTCTTATCTCTCAACCTATATTCACCACCCCCACTTGACTCCATAGCCACCAAAACAGCCACCGTCGACCACCGCCCTTCTCTCTCTTTGGGCAGGGCAGCAAAGTTTCATTTTTTTTCTGGAAGATTCATTGTCTGCTGTTAAACCTCTTTGGGTTTCTGTAATTTCACCTTGTTTACCACAAATCTTTAACAAAAAAACTCTTCTTTTGATCAAATTGTTGCCTGCTTTCAATCTTCAAACTTGGTTCCTGTGCAAAAAGATTGTCCCCTTTTTTTTCTTTCTGGGATAAATAGAACTGTTTCTGTTCAGCTTTTCACACCCAGATCTGCTTTTCCCTCTTTTTTAATCTTGTTTTAGCGCTGAAACTGTAGCCATCGTTCTTGTTCTTTCAAGAATCTTGTTGAAGTGAAAAAAGAGACACCCTCCTCCCAAGAAGAAGAATCTCAAATGGGTATTTGTTTGAGTGCTAGAATCAAAGCAGAAAGCCCATATTACACAGGTTTACCTTCGATTTCTTTGTTAAATAATGTTAACCACCACTTAAATGGGTATGATTTGATGCAAACTTAAACATGATTATCACATCTTTTTAAGGGTTTATCATGATCCAACTTTCCATTTTGAGAATCTTGTACTTTTAAAGATGATTGATCGTAGTTAATGTTCTAATTCTCCTTTTTGTCTGTAATTTGAAGTTGGGTTTAGCTGGAATCGAATCAATTTCGAATACCCATTATAATATTATCAAAAAAGAAAGTTTTTTCAGCCAGAATATTCTAAAATTGGAATCATTTTGTGATATAATTCAGGGGTGAGTTCAAGAAACATAAGCACAGATGCAAATGATATCAGCAATTCAAGTTGCAGCAAAGCCTCGTCGGTCCCTCCAACTCCCCGGAGTGAAGGCGAGATTTTGCAATCCACCAATCTGAAGAGCTTCAGTTATTCCGATCTCCGAACAGCCACCAGAAATTTCCGGCCAGACAGTGTGTTGGGTGAAGGTGGGTTTGGCTCTGTTTTCAAAGGCTGGATTGATGAGCAATCGTTCGCCGCTGCTAAGCCCGGCACCGGAGTTGTTATCGCCGTTAAAAGGCTTAATCAAGAAAGCTTTCAAGGTCACAGGGAGTGGCTGGTGAGCATTCCTAAATTTAACTCCATTTATGTTGGAAATAATCGTTTTCTAAAACTGGAAATTTGGGATCAAATTTTGTGTAGGCAGAAGTGAATTATTTGGGGCAATTTTCGCACCCCAATCTTGTGCATCTGATTGGATATTGTTTGGAGGATGAACACCGGCTTTTGGTTTATGAATTCATGCCTCGAGGAAGCTTGGAGAATCACTTGTTCAGAAGTGAGTTGATGTCTAAATGTCTTAAATCTTTTTAGACCAGACTGCTTTACCGGAGGTCAAATATGTCTAAATGTCTTGAATCTTAATAGACCAGACTCCTTTATAGGAGGTCAAATATGTCTAAATGTTTTAAAACTTAATAGAACAAAAAATGACCTAAAACATTTGTTAGAACTTGTAAAAACGTCAAGTCCTATTAACTTATTATAACACTTTTATGTATTCGTCCTATAAACTTAAGTACGGTAAAACAGTCTATTAAGACATTTTATACATATTTAGTATCCTATAAAGCCGATTTTATTTTGTTGTAGCGAAAGATATGTAAAAAAGAAAGAACTTTTTCGTATGATTGGGTTCATTTTCGATTCTTGTGTTGTTTCATAGGAGGATCTTATTTTCAACCGCTTTCATGGAGTCTTCGATTGAAGGTTGCTCTTGGAGCTGCTAAAGGACTCGCTTTTCTTCATAGTGCCGAAACAAAAGTGATTTATCGAGATTTCAAGACTTCAAATGTTTTGCTTGATTCGGTATGTGGTGTCGTTCGGTACTAGCTAGATCATGTACGCATACCGTTTCTTGTTATTTCGTTCCAAATTTATTCGATTGGTTCTTTCGTTCAGGATTACAATGCAAAGCTCTCTGATTTTGGGTTGGCAAAGGATGGACCAACCGGCGATAAAAGCCATGTTTCAACCAGGGTCATGGGGACGTATGGTTACGCGGCTCCTGAATATCTAGCCACCGGTATGCATAAAGAAACACAACACTCTATGTTAAAAGTTATGTGGAACCCTTTTAATCTCTCACTAAAAGAGTGTCGTTTGGGCGTATAACCTTAAATGATATACAGGTTTGATGGTCGATGTCTAACCAATGTGGGACTCTGACAAAGTGATATATATATATAAAAGTTATAGTTATACTTGTATATTTGCTGATATTTGGTGGTTGTAGGTCATTTAACAACAAAGAGCGATGTATATAGTTTCGGGGTGGTTCTTCTTGAAATGTTATCGGGCCGAAGAGCCGTAGACAAGAACCGGCCTTCCGGTGAACACAGCTTGGTAGAATGGGCCAAACCATACCTTGCCCACAAACGTAAACTCTTCCGTGTGCTCGACAACCGTCTTGAAGGCCAGTACACCATAGATGGGGCCCATGCCGCTGCAAACCTATCCCTCCGATGCATTTCAATGGATCCAAGGTTCAGGCCTAACATGGATGAGGTGGTCAAAGAACTGGAACAGCTTCAAGATCCCAAGGGAATGACACGGGCGCGGAGACATTCCGTGAACGAAACACAAGGGCGGAGACGGGTGTCTCGAGATGGTGGGAGCAGCGGTCGGGCGGGGGCTTATCCGAGGCCTTCTGCCTCAGCTGTTTATAGGAAGTGAGTGAAGGGGAGGAATAATAAGGGTGGTATAGGAATAGGAGTGTGGAGTGGGCATTGATTTTGGGCAAATGATTGTATAGTTGTGATGGGTTATAACCTGATTTGAGAAGAGAAGCATATTTGTGTATCCAAATTTGGTGTTGAAGTTTGTGGAAATATATGATTCTGAAACCAACCAACCAACCAACCAAACCATGTTTAGGATACAAAAAAGTGTCTAAATTGAAGTTTTCCATATTTTCTCCCAAATGGCTTTTAATTGTGATTGTGGTTGTAAACTAAACAAAATTGTTTTTTTTTTAAACTGGATATCCAACCCGTTATGTGAGCCGACTAATCGCAGGACGGCTACCTGCTTTGCAGATAGCCCGGAGTCATCGCATTTGAACTTCCGTGGCCACAAGGGGATTCTTATTCCTACTTACGTACAATTACTTGTAATCTTGAATTTTAAGTAATATGTATCAATAAATAGTACTTTATACATAAAAAAAAAATGGTTTTTATCAAGTATTTTATAATATAGTATAGATAGGTATATAGTTTAGATCTTTATATAAAAAAATTATATTATATATTTTCACAATATATTTAAAACCATGAAAAAGGTAAAAATAAAGATTTTGTGGGTGCAGGCAGGTTGTAAATGTCACCCCCACTTGCCTTCCAAATCTGTCTTTTTCTTTGACTTTCTCAAACTTTTATCCTAAATCACACCAACCTTCACTCTACTCTACTTTTTTTTTTCTCTTTTATAAATTTATTATTAATAATTTAACAAATTTTGAATAACATACTCTTAAAACCTTTATTTTAACACATAAAATATAACATCTCGTACATTTTAATAATCATACAACCTTGTTCGCTTTCACGATAGAAAGTCGGTCATTCATGCATCGCAAGGAGAGGTTAGGCTCTAATGGCAATCTCGATACTCCCGAGTCAATGACCCTTTAATATTTTCGATCAAAGTGGAAGACGATCGTAGTTTCTTTGATTAATTAGTTAAATGCAAGTATGACATCAATAGAATAGAATAAACGAATGGGATACAGTACAACAAGCTCGGGTTTTCATCGACCCCCTTGCATCCAACATCGCCAATCCAATCTTCCACTCGATCGGTTCCTCAAGCTCACCAATTCTTTAAATTCATAAACCTTCCTCATGTAGTTACCCCCTTCTTTTCCCGACTCAAATTGGTCCGGACCTTCTTCGCTCTCTTCTGCGGTCTCGGGTTCGCTTTCCTCTGGAGGTGGCAACACATCATCGATGATGTTCCCCAGCATCTCGACCACTTCGCTCATTTTGGGTCGGGATTTCGGGTTCTTTGTCAGGCATTTGTTGGCTAAAGATGAAAGCTTGTGGGCGGATTTCAGGGAGTAGTCTCCTTCAAGACGCGGGTCGACAATGAGGTGGAACTTTTTTGAATCTGAGATGTAAGGTTTCACCCATTCTAAAAGTTTTTGTTCGTTTCGAGGCAAGTTTCGCTCCACTGCTCGTCTACCGGTGATAAGCTCATACAGGACCACCCCGAAGCTCCAAACATCGCTTTTGGCAGTAAGTCTACCCGTTTGAACGTATTCCGGAGCTGCATAACCAACTGTTCCCACAACCTTTTCAAAAACACAAGATGGAAAATTGTTTACTCTTTGATGTTTATGGAGGGTTCAGTATTCTTATGTGATTATTTTCACATTCGTTGTATTGGCGGTTCTCAATCCACTTGATTATTCCCGTTATACATAGGGGCAGGTTTACTTGCAAACTTAACTTCCATTGTAAACCAGGGGATAAAGGAGATTCATGGGATATTCATCATGAATGTTGTAAGAAACTCACATTCATTATTCATGATGAAATGGGTCAAAATGAGGGCACTTGTCGTGCTGTCCTTGTCTCCTGGTTCACAACAGAAAATAGGTTTGCAGCTGAACTTTCCTCAATATATGAAAAAGTTCAAATGAAACCCCTAAATATTTTAAGAACCTGGAACCAACTATTTCACGAGTTATTCAGGACGAATAACCCTAAAACATTCTCAATATCATGATTTTCGTTATTCATGATATTCAACATGAATATATATATATATATATATATACACACACACACGAGCAGGTTCAAACGAGAACGCCAACTATTTAAGAAAACAAGAAAAAGATCGTTAATGAACAAAATCATATATGATTCACGTACAAAATCATACATGATTCTCCGCGACTTAAGTCGTGGCAAAAGTCGCCCGCTTCCATTTTTTTGATGTTAATGTAAAATCACATGTGATTTTATACATTAATGACCTTTTTCTTGTTTTTCTAAATAGTTAGCGTTGTCGTTTAAACCATCCTCTCTCTCTATCTCTCTCTCTCTCTATATATATATAGGGGCCCATTCAAGGGAGAACTGATTAGTTTGTGGTAACTGTGAGATCCAATCGCAACCACAAATCAATGGATAAATTAGGAAATTAATAATTATGATAGTTTGAGTTAAAATTATAATTAGAGGACATTTTAGGTATTTTTTTAAAAAAACTCCTCTCTCCTCTCTCCGGCCTCCAATCTCCGGCCTCCGGTGAACATTAATCTGGCAGGTATCAAGTAATCACAAAGATACACAATGTGATACCCATTGTGATATACAATGATACCAACTAAGATACCAACTCAAACCTTAAAAACAAAGATACACAATGTGATACCCATTGTGATATACTGTGATACCGATTTCACCGGAGGTCGGAGAGATGAGAGAGGAGTTTTAAAAAATACCTAATATACCCTCTAATTATAATTCTAACTCAAACTACCATAATACCAGACTCGTTTGAGCCCGGTATTGTTATTTATTGTCACTACCTCCCCGTGTCAGGATTGGGTAATTTGCGCGCCTGCTGCCTTCCTTGGATGTGGTAGCCGTTTCTCAGGCTCCCTCTCCTGAATCGAACCCTAATTCTCCGTCACCCGTCACCACCATAGTAGGCCACTATCCTACCATCGAAATTTCCTAATTTATCCGTTGATTTGTGGTTGAGATTAGACCTCACAGTTACCACAAACTAATCAGTTCTCATTTGATTAGGCCCCTATATATATATATATATATATATATATATATATAGGTGAAGGATCATGTGAGAAGGGAAGTTATGGTGAGAAACGTAAGAAGAGATTTGAACCCTTGATCACTTTTAATCTCATGCCCAACCATGAATTGTGCTTTACAAGGGAATTGGTCCGATGCATTTTGGTGCACCTCATTTCTGTAGACATTCAATTAGGATTGATTGGAGATCTCTTCTTACGTTTCTCATCATAACTTCCCTTCTCACCGGAACCCAACCCTATATATCCACTGTTTAACATTCTCCAGAGAATTAAAAAGGGAATTCATTTAGTGTATGTGTTAGCGAAAAGAGATGGGCTTACGACTGTAGAAACATGGGTAAGTCCGGCAGCTGGACCCTGTCTTGCGAGTCCAAAGTCTGAGAGCTTGGGGTTAAAGTCCTCATCCAAAAGAATGTTTGAAGTTTTGAGATCTCGAAAGATTAGCTGCATGCATCAAAGGAAATACGTATGAAAAAGCAAATATTATATGGATCACAAAACTATTACCAGTTTAGTCGATTCAATTTCTTGTTAACGTTGTTATCTACTACTACTGTCTTCTGTAGGGTTTAAAAACTGATCATGTGAACTCCTACTTCAGATAGAGGTAGGGTAGGATGTATGCATATTTTACCTCTACCCCAAAAGGGTAGAAAAAGGTTGTTTCCGTGAAAAGCCCCGACTTGCAAAACAAAAAGAACAGGAACAAGTGTGGTAATTAGCGACAAAGTGTGTCCTGACAAATAATACAAACCTACATTGTGAATGAAATGATTTGTAAAAGGGTTATGGATGGATTGGCCTTCTGTTTGTAGTCTAATCCACACTTTTTTTTATTAACCTGGATATCCAACCCGCTATGCAAGCCGACTAATCCCAGGGCGACCACCTGCTTTGCAGATAGCCCGGAGTCCCTATATTTGAACCTCTGTGGCCACAAGGGGATTTTTACTCCTCCTTGGATTTGAACCTGGGACCTACTGGTACTTTTGATCTTTGGAGCCAAGCTCAAACCAATCAGGCACCACCCTTGTGGTTCTAATCCAAACATTTTATTGTTATTAGGAACAAGAAACTAACAACCATTATCTGAAATTAATCCAATCATCCAACAAGAAGAGCACATGGAGTTGATAATGTCAAAGTGAAGATGATAAAGTACCTGAAAGTCCATTTCTTCATGTAGGTAAGCCAAACCGCGAGCTGCACCTTGAGCAATTCGTAAACGTGTCATCCATGAAAGAGGAGAATTTGCACGGCCCAATAGATGGTCTTCCAAGCTTTTATTGCTCATAAGCTCGTAAACTAGAAGGCGTTGAATCCCTCTTTCATCATCTTCTGCACAGTATCCTACTAACTTCACAAGATTTGGATGGTTGACTACTCCCAAAAAGTTAACTTCATTAATCCACTCCTTATGCCCCTGAAAACTAGAACACAGAATATAAAAAGAAAATACATAAGACGAACCAACCTGTGAAATATAAATCAAAAGATAGTTAACGACTCTTAATTGCCTACATTTACGTTTGGATGAGAATAAGGAACAACAAAAACATGAAAACTTGTTGGTGTAGATAAATCATGGTAGTTGCCATCAATACTAACCGGATGTCAGCTAATCTACATCAATATTAACCGGATGTTAACAAAGGGTCATTAAACTTCTTGATGTAGATAAATCACAGCCCGGTAGAGCTCAGCCTCCCAAGAGGTTAGAATCAAAGGTGATGAGTGTATGCAAATATTTGTTGTGTATAAATATTATATACTTTAAAAAAACGGATGTTGGTATATTAGGAAGACAAAAGAGCATTTCGCTTAAGACCGATCCTTCTTATGGAGTATTTAGGTTCCATGATCCAGAAGCCCGGAGAGGGAGAATAAAGACAGGATGACTAAGTGGAGGGCAGCCATGAGAGTTGTGCAACAAGAAGGTCTCATTAAAACTGTGGAGAAAATTCTACATGGGTGACTATAAGACCAGTTATGATTTATGGGCAACGAAAAAGACGCATGAGTGGAAGTTAGTTGCAGTGTTGCGGAGGATGTTAAACAGAGAAATTGAGAGAGGGTAGAGTACGGTGGTTTGGGTAGTTAAGAAAGCACCATCTCAGGCTCTGCAAAAAACCAATATTTTTGTCCAAACTTTCAAATCTTTGTCACAAGTCGGGGGTCTTCATGGGAACAGCCTCCCTACCAGATGAAGAGCAGATCTGAGAGTTAACAGGTCTTCTCGTGGATCAATGGCAAAAAACAAAACAGGCTCGAAAGAAGCCCGATATGCTTCAAAATCTTGCATCGAAGGTGGAAAACAGAGTCCTACGCGACTCCTGGGTCGCCTAACCTCTGAAACATGTCGACAGTGGTTCACTTCACGCGACTTAGGTTAGATGCCTGCACACATCTTGGGCGAGATCTTAGCTTCTTTGCTTTCATTTTATTTAGTTTTTAATTTGCTTCCTAATTAGTTTAAGAATATCATTTACTTTCATCTTTATAATCATTTAAATACTTTCCTAGTTGGTCATTGTTCACCTTTCAAATCAGCTAATGAATTAATCTATTATCGAGTTTGAGTTTTCTCTCAATTAGGGTTTATCCCTTATCTTTTCTTGGAGGTTTACGCTTGTAAACGCGTAAACCCTTCAAGGGTTCCGACACATGTCAACCCATCAGCGTTTCCTACGGCATCACTAACTTTAGGGCCAGAGGAAAGATTTGCGCACATCATACACTCCCATAATCTACTTCCGAATAGGTACATCACGTCTGGTTTGATCTGATTTCGTTTTAGATGGATATCAAAAAAGGCATCACATATTCAAAGTGCATTCAACATTCTTTAGCATACATTGAATGTGCATTCTATCATTCTTATGCTCACTTCAATCTCCAATATGGAGTTCTAACGACAACCCAACACATTTAACCAAACAATAAAACAAATAACCAATCTCTTCTAATGATTCTATATAGATTTGTGTTTCTTTGGATTCTATTTTGCTATGCATACCAAATTAAGTATTTCAAATATGTATAAGTATTTGAATAAACAAAGAGGGAAAAGGGCATGCCTGGAATCCATTGCGATTCAATTGCTTGATAGCAACATCCAAACACCCATTCGTATCATTACCTCCGCCGGCGACAGTCTCGGCGGCCTTAACAACTCCTCTGTAAACGCAACCGAATCCTCCCTCACCTATCATAAGGGCTCGATTAAACCCTTTGGTGGCAGACTTCAACTCGGCGAACTTGAAAACTCGCAGATCGTTGGCACGGCGTTGACTCAACATCTCAAAGAACCCTACCGAGTCACAGAAATCCCTGGAGTTGCAGTCGGCGTCGAACTCGGAACGTCGAGTTGTGTCGACGCTGCTAGACGCTACGCTGAGGGAACGAGCCCATGACACCCTAGCAGACGACCTCGAAACGACGGCATCGTCACCATCAGCTCTCCTATCGCCATTAGTGAAGTGAAAACACTTCATTTCATGCTAACACTATCTGTATCGAATGTGGGTGGTGTGGGTTTTGTGGTTCTAGAGAAAGGGAAGAAGGGAGAGAGTGGGATGGACATATGGCACTTGCAGAAATCAAGAAAGCAGGTTTTGCTTCGATCCGCTACTTGTCTTCTTGCAGAGATGGAGATGTGAAATTGAAAATAGATATAGCAGAGATACATACAAAAAACCATATATCTGTATGAGGATTATACATATTTGCTACCTAAGTTTCATTTTTTTCAATTTCGCCATCAAAGTTTTCAATTTTTCTAATAATGATCACAAATGTCATCAAGAAATATTTAGAGTAAACTAAAAAAATAGTATGTTAAAAGAAATTTGTAAGCGGTTTTTATAAGGTAGTACACGTGACATGTATTAATTTGATCTGAATTTTCAATTTAGCCCCCTCCACTTACCTAATACCCCTTCCCCACAATGACCAAACAACCCTTCCTAGTAAAACCACTACCAAGACTCCGATGAACACCTTCACTTACTGGGAGTCTATGACACATGCCCTATTCCCTCCTCGTGACACAACAGTCTATTTTCTCTAATGAATCTCTCTAAACAACCCTTTCTTGGAGATGGATCCTGGGTTTCGTCCTTACACAACCCCACTTGCTACCCATCATCGTCCCCCACCTCACCCCTTCTCCATCTTCGACAAGAAAACACTACCTCCAGATCCTCTCCTCCATTTTATTATTCCCCTAGAAAATCCCTCCCTCGTTGTGTGTGTAGAGCGACACATTTGTATGGGTACAAGGGTGTGTTTGTTTGTGTTATATGAATGGGTGTACAACATTCGATGAAGTGTCAGTGACGAAGGAATTGTGAGGATATGAGAGGGTTTCCTTTGGTAGTGTGTGTATATATAAAAATATTTTTATTATAGGTAAAAAACAAAACCAAAAAAAAAAAGACAGGGGAACAGGTAAAAGGACGAAAATATCCCTTGTTCAACAGACAATTTTGAGTGAGTTAGTAAGAGAGAAAGTGAAATACAAAACAAAGTGATGATTATCATACTTAATGAAGTTTAGGGACTTTGTTCGTAGTTGAGTGTAAAGTAGAGGGACCAAAGTTGTAATTTACATAAAAATGAATTTAGGAGGTTATTATAAGTGGCACATGGAGAGTGATGGGTAGAGAACGGACAGGTGTGGTGTCTGGGAAGTGGGGACGTCACCGTTTTGTTTGGCATTGCAATTTCAGTTACTACATTATTTTGAACCTAAAAGCATTTTATTTGTATACCCATTGGAAATGAATAGAATTCATCATCATAAAAGTCTTATTTAGATAAATAAAATATAGTTTATAAAAGCATTCAAAACTTCTTTAGAGATTCATAACTTTATTAAATCAGTTTTCTTTTTCCTACACTTTTCATAAATCATTCACTCTCAATCATAGACCGGTTTATTGTTTATATAATAAAAAATACAATAATAAAATTATAACAACTAAAAAATACTTATTGTAATTAAAAATTACATGAATGAATACCATAAAAAATAAAAATTATTATAATAAAATAAAAAAGTTATTGAAATTATATAATAATTTGTTATGAAATAAATTACCTTTTTATTGCATTGTGAATGGTAAGATATAAAAAATATAAATTAAATTATAATTGTTTAGTTATTGTGGACCTATATTTATCAAATAAAACGGTTTATAACTAAGCAACTCTTCCACGCCATGTAGGCATGGACCTCTTCCATTTAGGCATGACAACGAGACGAGTTTTGTAATCCTGGTCCCGATTTGTAGTACCATCCCCCGATCCCAGCGGGTATGGGGATTAACATCTCGTCCCCGGTCAAACCCCATAAATAATATAGATTAGTTTGATTCTACCGGGGATCCCTCACCCCGGTTTGAGTAACATCCTCCGTCCCCATCCCCGGTTTGAGTCTACCGGGGATCCCCGGCCCAACCCCGGGAACCGTTTTAATGGGGAATCCCCATTCACGTTTGGGTCGGGTGAACCGGGTTCCCCACCGGATCGGGACAAATCATCATCCCTACTTCCACTTAATGGGGTGTGAAAAGAAAAAAGGGGGTCCAAGGAAAACTCCACTGCAGATGTTCTTAGATACAAAAGGATTTTTTTTTTCAATTTCTTCTAATTATATTCATGATTATAATCAATTTTTCTGTATTATTATTAACTATTAATTATTATTAACCATTAGTAATGATTTGATCATTAAGATTTTCTTCAATCGTAGCAAGTTCTTTGATTTTTGCATGATATTTTTCATGTTGTTTTTGTAAATCAAGATTTAATTTCAGCTTTTGATTTACCATTCAGTGCATTGTAAAGATCCACAGTTAGTGTATCCAAGTATCGAACATGGAGAGACGGTTAGTACATAGGTAGAAGGATCATTCAGATTTAATTCTTGAGTTGAGGTAAAATCATTTGAGGATGAAGTCTTAGATTGTTCATCTTTGACTTCATTGATGTTGGCCATAAGACATATATATATATATATATATATATATATTGTGTTTTCCTCATCTGAAGATGATTCATCAGATGAATCAGCTCAATCATGTTCTTCAGCGATTAGTCCCTTGCCTCTACGAGAGTTACTTTTTCTAGTGAATCTTCTAAACGAATTTGTAAGAAGAGCCAATGACTCATCAAACTTTGAAAGATCAGCGTCTGTTAAGTCCTCAGAGTTAGATGGATCTAACTCAGTGATTACGAAAGAGGGAACTTTACAACTCGACTTAAAGGACATAAGAGGAAGGGACCTCGCATGCAGGTGAATTTTAAAGACTGGAGTTTACATTGTAAATTCTAAATTTGAATGATAATTCGAAGAGTTTTTGTAAGACATTGGGATGAATTATCTAATTTACGCCATGACATAGTCATGAACCCGAGTTCGAGCCCTGGGAGGGGAGTGTTGGCGACATTTAAGTGGGGCCATGTTTAGCCTCCAAATTTGCCGGGGATTAGTCGGGCTTTGGCCCGGACACCCTTACAAAAAAAAATTATTAATGGGTAAATAAAAAAAAAATCCCGACATGTGTTAGTATTTGTTCACATTCAAATTAAAAAGAACGCTTTGTTTATATTGATTTTTAAGATAAAAATATGTGAATTGGGTGTTACAGTCTAGAACCAGAATTCTGAGCCAAACTGTTAGCTAGTCATTATCATTTTTATTCAAGTCGACATATGGTTTGACGTATACACCACTTCATTGTTTGGCTAATGATATTTTATATGTATGTCCAAATAATAAATGCAATCAAATCATTTTATATGGTTGAAAATATTTAAGAAATAGAGGGAAAATGTGTAATTAAAAGAAGTTCAAGGACAGATGTGCAATTATCCATAAAGATTATGCATCAAGCCGCGGCCAACCCAAGAGCCCACCACCCAGCCCATAAGTCATGGTATATGAGCCCACAATGACTGTTTTTACATCAGAATTAATGATTTAGGGGCCGTTTACTAAACGCTTATTTGATAAGTGTTTATCGGATAAATTTCTTTATCGGATGAACATGATAAGGGCCAAAAATCTTACCGGGTAAAAGCGATGAGAAGGATGAAGAGTTTTCCCTGGTAAGTGAAGATGACGACTCTTACCCAAGTAAGCGTTTACCCAACAAATTGTTGCATTCGAAGCGTTTTAATGTACTAAAATCTTACATATCAAAATAAATTATAGTGTTGTACTCCTATAAGTAAGCACTCACCGAGTAAGCATTTGGGTAAACAACCCTTTAGTTTTAAAAAAGTATCCTTGTTTTTTTAATCAAGAATAAATTGCTTTTAAAAAAATATCAAAACTTTATTTGAAAAAATAATTTGTAAAAACATGACAACTACGATGGTTATTTTTATAATTATGCTACAAATGTTTAGATTATTTTTTGTTATTTATTTATATTCTTATAAGAGTAAAATGCATTAAAATGTAATATAAGTTTGGTTTAATTCATATTTACGGTAATGAAGATTTTTTTTTTCTCAATTAATAAAAAAAAGTCTTAAACTTTCTTATTTTGTTTACATTTTAACTGGTAATCTGCTGATCTTGTAATATTTGATATCATGGATACTCGTTTAAAAAAGTTTTACGAAAGTGTTATCGCAAAATGGAAGACAAACATGATCCACATCATCGAATATTATAAGATCATCAGTCTACTGTTTGAAACTCAAAATGGTTAAGAAAAAGTAGGAGTTCGTTACATTAAATAGAAAATTTTAAAACTTTATTATATTGATTAATAAGAGAATTATTTTTTATATTAAACTAGAAGGGTACTCGTGCAATGCATCAAGACACATTTCCATTTCAATGTTTCGTTTTAATTTTTTATCCATGTCGATATAATACAATTTTATATGGTTTTAAGAAAGCGATAATGTTTTTATTTTTGAATAAAATATATATTTGAAAATATCATATAAAATTTGCAAAAAATATATCAATATTAGTATCAAATTATCTAATTAAAAGTTCTTGTTTGTTTATTTTTTTAATTCAAATTTTTTATTATAATTTAATTTAACGTAACAAATTAACTTAATTTAAGTTTAATAATATTTTTGTAAAGATAATAATTAAGTATTCTGTTAGAACTCAATAATTATCCTAATTGTATTTTAGATTTTTTAGATTTTAAAATGAGATGTTTATCCTCTATTTGATTATGTTTATCCGCAGTTAGTTACACGAATTCAAACATAAAGCTTTGATAAGTTGTACTTATGCACAATTTACTTGTAATCTTGAATTTTAAGTAATATGCATTAATAAACAATACTTAGTACATAAAAAAATGTATTTAAGAGTTTTTGTCAAATGCTTTATAATATAGTATAGATATGAATTAAGGAAGACTTTGTTGCATTTTGATACAGTTTAATCCTAAAGTTAAGTTTGATAAACGAAAACATTACTTGTTTCTAATTCAAATTAATATTTTAGTATGTTGTTTCAATATCTCATAAGCTGTCGTTCAGTTGTGATTTCATCAATTGTAGCAGAAGTTTGCTCTTCAATTGTGGAAATTGTTCCAATATGAAAACTCTTTCAGTATAATAAAATTTTAACCATTAAATAAACGGTTTCAATAACTACCAGATATATTTTTCAAGAACAAAACTTTTAACTCTTGTGTTGAAACTTGAGTGGCTAATGATTTGTATGTTTGAATACAACATATTCCTAATAAGTTACCAAGAATAGGACAAACTGCATGAAAATGCAACGTACTTTAACGTGATTCCTATTTTAGGTAACGTACTTTCAAAACTTTCATTTTGGCACCTAAGATGTAAAGTTATAAATATTTAAGTATCTGGGTAAATGATTGAAGCATTAACCGGTTATCATGCTGATGTGGCGAGTGATGTGGTATCCAACTCAGTATTATTTGCTATTCAACCCAATTTCATCTCAGTAAAAAAAATCTATGTCGTCCTTTGAAACGCTTCTATATAGTTATCCCTCGACCATTATAGGTAAATTATGTGTCTTCAAATCTTTTATTCATTCAGTAAAGATGTACACCGTCTTATCTATTAAGCTAAACTCATAAAGACCCATATACAAATATGTTGTTTTAAGAATCAAAGGCTAATTTATGTTTATATGTATTTGTTAATTTTCATTAAAAGAACCAATAAAGTCCAAAATACCCTTGAATTGGGGAATTACAAATGGCCAATGCCAAATTTTGACCTTATTTTGAGTGGGCCAAAAAGCAATTGCCCCCTACCCCTACCCCTACCATAAAGGACAAATGGACATGATCAAAGGGTATCCCATGCTCTTCCCTTTGGCTTTTAAGAATCCAAAGTTTTAAAATCATATAATGATTTCTTGTAATTTAATTCGATTTTTTCCCCCAAATATATTCGTATCGATCTTATAAAATCAAACAAAATCCGACGATAATTTACCGACAGCACATTTTGACAGAATCTTTCAAAACAAGTCGAACTCTGTCAAGATGCAAGTTATGTTAGAATTTCTGGGTGTTTCGATTGCTTGGATTGTTGAAATTTGTGATTCACTTTTAGATTGAAATATTTTGATGATACAATCGAAACTTCAATCGGATAAAATACAAAAAATCGATGTTATGAATCTCTTTGTACCCTCGAAAATCAAATGACCATTACGAAAAAGAATTCGAAAACTATCAAAACGGCAGTTTCAGAACCACCAAACCGGGTTTAAAAAAACAGGGCCAAAAACCAAGTTCAAAATCACAATTTTCGGATTTTCATGCATTTTCCATATAGTAACATCGACCCCAGCCAGGGGCTCTGCCCCTTGGACCACGCCAGGGATTGCCACCCCTTGGACCCCGCTACCAGGAGTGCTGCCCCCGACCCCCGTCATTTACCCTAAATAACGGTATACTTTAAATCGAAATAAACTCAAACAAATGTGCACTTCCCATCAACCTTACTTGTTCAATATTTATCAAGATTACATTGGTCAACAAATTAATCTCATTACACTTAAATGATATTGGTGATACAGATCACCAACAAGTTCGAATTTTCAAAAGGGTGTCCAGATGAACCAGTAAATGAAACGTTTCGTGGGAGCTAGGGATTGAGAATCCACCTTGCCTCTCGGTCAACAAATAAGCTGCCCTTACGGCATCGGGTCATGAGTAATCAGTGTTTTGTCTTCTAGCTCATTTTTGTCGGTTGTATATAATTTTTCTTTGATCGTGTTTACCACACCTCGCTGTATTTCTCGGGTTTTCTTCTTCTAATGGTTCCTTTTTATTTTCAATAATATGCTTTTTTTTAAATAAAAAACAGATTTGACAAAAATCATATGATCATGAAAACAAACGATTATACATATTCAAGATTTAAGATGCGGGCAACATTTTTTTGCAGCCGCCTCAGCCTAACAACCTAAGTATCCCCAAAAATTTAAAACCTTCCATCTTTGGTCCTCCATCTTTTGACATATTAGCTTTTACACCCCCCGATAAAGAAAAGTAAGACAAGAAAAGTCGACGACAAAAAGTGGAAATTTATATAGGATCTGGTTTTACACTCGGAAATTCTTCCCGGTGAAGGTTTGACCGAACTGCCAGTTGGCCGGAGCGATGTTCCATGAGGTGGTGGTGCGTCGGTCACTGGCTGTTACCCTGAAGGAGAGTGACTGACCAATCAGAACTGCGTTTGACTGCCAATTTTGACCCCAGTTCCGACTCATACTCATCCAGTTGGTCCTTGTGCCTTTCACCCACACTTTCTGAATATCACCGGCGCCGGCGACGTTGCTGATTAGAACCAGGTTGAAGTAACGGAAACCGTTGACGGTGAATCTTATCCCACCCGACTTCCGGCATGGCACCCTTTAGTAATACATCACAAACACCAAGGTCAATATGTCATTTCAAATTGTCATAAAATCACGTGATTAGAAGGCCCACATTTGAAGTTGTGAGTTTTGTTCACCATCTAGAATATTTATAACAATTCATATTTTTTTCAAAATCACTTGTCAACTTATTATATATAAAAAATATTTAGCTTTTTTAAGAAAATTTATTACTGATTTAACATCGATATAAATTATTTATCCAAACATTTATTTATACCTATATCACATCAGAATATGTCAATAAATTAATTTTATAAATAATCTCAAACACCTCCTAAATACCAATAAAAATTTTCTATTTTAAAAATTATGTTTTATAATATCTTTTTCTATATAAGGATAATATTTAATATATTAATTAACATATATTTGTTTCATAATATATTTATTAATTATAAAACTTAAAGTGTACATGTAAATCAATGATATTATAAAACACATATATGTTAATTAATACATTAAATCTAGTTTTAGAATTAAAAAAAACATATAAAATTCTCGAAGTTTTTTACAATTTTATGACTAAAAAAAGGTCGCCTTTAATAAACACATACTATACGGATACTTACCGGCGGTAAGAAACGGGGACGATGCCGGCACGGTACTCAGCGATCTTAAGAAACATGGGCATGGCGAGATCGAAGTGGGTACGAGGAGGGTTACACCAACCACCATTATCGCTAGGTTGGGCGAAATTCGGAGGGCAGAAGTTGGTGGCGGTGACGAAGATGGAAGGGCTTCCGGCATGGCACCACCGTGGGTCTTGGGTGCATTTGATTTCAAAACAAGCACCGCAGCTAAACCCATTGTTAAATAACGCCGTACTCAGTGCCGCCGTGTTCACTCCGTAGCCTTGGCTGTAGAGATTTCCATACCCACAAGCACCACCTGTAAAATTAACAAACACAATAAGCTTGAGAATCGAGAAGCTTCTAGAGGTACAATGTGCATTGAAATTAATCAATGGCATACATACCCATGGTACCGGAGGCGTCACTACCGCCGTAGAAGGTAGCATGAGCACCTTGCCATGCCCCGCCGGCGTAGTTGCCGGGGATTCTGGCGTCGGCCACCGACAGAAGTGAGATGATAACGAAGAGAAGGCCGGTGGGGATAGCCATTTAGAAAGAGAAGGGTGTTGGGTGATGGTGGAGAAATGGGAGGTTGTTATGGAGTATTTATGGAGGGGATTGTGGTGGATGTCAGAATTTTTTTTCATAAAAATAAAAAGAAAATAAAAAAAATTATTTATTTATTATGATTATAATACATTTTCGGTATTCATTATTTTTTTGTTTTTATAATTTAAAATTTATTGAAGTTTTTGTTTTTATGGTTTATAATTTCATTTCTATTTTAGTTCTTTATGCTTAAAAGTGGTATTGCAGTCTTAAAGACGAAAATAAAAATGAATTGCAAACTACGGTAATAAAAGTCGAAATTTCAAAACTACAGGAAAAATCCATAATTTTTAATAAACACGAGGGACTAAAAACATAATTTCTCTTTATTTATTTATTTAGGAGCCATGGGATATCATTGGACCAACCTCGTAACCTATTCAATACCTAAATCCGACGGTTACGAGCGTACTAAATGTGAATAAGGGAATTGTCTAAGATAGTTATTCTCGATTTTTTTTTATTAACTTGGATATTTAACTCGTTATGCAAACCAACTAATCATAGAACGATCACTTGTTTGTAGATAGGCCGGAGTCACTACATTTGAACCTACATGGCCATAAGAGGATTTTTATTCCTTCTTGGATTTTTATTCTCGACTTTTTAATTTACTTTATAATGGGTTTTTATATTTTATCAAATGAAATAGTTAAGATTTTGTAAGTAAGCATTTTAACACTTTTGAAATTTATTTTTTATAAATTTAATATTTATAAGTTAACATATTCGTACTTTGATGTGGTGTTATTTACGAAATGCTGATATGAGAATGTCATTTACGCAACTTGCTAAAGTGCTAGAAACTTTTCATATCAACATTTGTTGATCCTCTCTCTCAGTGATTTGATGATAATCCTTTTTTCCTTTCGATGTATTTTTGTGTTTCTGTACTTTCGGTTCCAGCGATCAATACACTGAGCTTGTTCAGT